TCACCATTATCAAGCTGAAACAGGTTTGGCAACTGGTAACGCACACGGTACACCAAAAAGATTCAAAACATGCTTCGAAATGAATAGATTTTTAAGCGCTTACGCTGACTGTTTTTTAATTAATTTTCGTGCCAGAAAGGGAATCCAAAAAAACATTAAACCAATGCATAAAATCACAATTACACTTTCCATCTGAATATTCAACGAAGCACATTAAACTTTCGATTCTGCTCGTGTTAACGCACAGTAAAGCATCAGGTTTTCATGTGGAGAATGTTTCTTGATGAATAATAAATTTGCCTTTTTCAGATTTATATCCTGTGTGAAATTTGAATGTAACAGGGACAGTTAGGACACATTTTAGCACGTTTTGAGCATTTTGTCAGCAGCCCTCTAATCTCCTTCCGATATAGTCTCAATACGATATGAATGAGCCATTTTGTTCACCGATATTCAAGGATATGAGACAACATAATACAAAACTGTCCTTGTCCTTGATTTTGTCATTTGTTTCTTTTAAAAATTGAGAAATAAACTGGTAGTGGTCATTAACTCACAGTATATCCGCCCACCTGCTTCTGGCGGTGACTGAAAACTGTGAAGTGACTTCATCATCCCATCAGTGTGATGCTTATTTTGGTCTTGTAAAAGTCTTTGACGTGGAGATATTTTCGATCCCTTCAGACTTTGTTGTTTTGATTTCCTAGTGACTCTTCTGTTTTTTCACTAACTGAAATCCTACTTGGCTTGCTGCTGGCAGACACATTATCAATAACTAACACTGTTTTCAAAAATATTTTGTATTCTTTGTCATCAATGTTTTTATCAGTTCTCCATTTCTTCTTTTTACCTGAAGAGTGTTTCTTACTAGCTAATATTCTGATATTCTTGCTGCGTCTCCACAGGACTAACTATGCCAAAAAGTATTTCATTTTGGTATCATTCCAGTTCATTCATTCTGCACCAAACACACCTCGACAAAGTTCCTACTTCACTGGGTAACCTTGAGACTGTTTCAATTATCTCTATGATACCCAAAATAAAGCCTGAACTACACTGTTATGCTGGTTTAAATGGATAATGTTGAGTAAGTCAGCCATGGGTAAAAGTGATTTTCTTGACCAATTATGAGTAATAAAGTAAATGACGACAGTCACAAACATATATGTTCTCAATGTAATCAACATTCACCATGGGGGGAGGGATGGAGTTGAAGTCAAACAGATAGATAATGAGTAACATCACAAAAGTTCACTCCTAATTCATCTCGGTGAAGACAACAACTCCGTAATGACCATAGTGGCGGTGACATGTCATATTTATAATAATTTGAGAGTAATGCAATGCAGGTGACCAACTCTTTGGCCTTGAGTGCAATAAATTCCCCACAAGCACTATAATATGCATGGTGGACGTTTCACGAATCAATTATGTCACCCTACCAAGTGTAGAGGAACGAAACACAACAAACAACTCCTCTGCAACCACACTGACACTGCAGACATGTGAGTAATTATATAACTGGACGGAAAAAACTACACATCATCCAAGTCACAACCTGTACTCCCCTTTTACACATTATTATTTGTCCCCATCTTTGTTGACAGATGTGCTTTGCACCACAATACCATTGACTACATACGTCCAAACAGAACAAATTAAACTCTCTGTTGTGCATAATTTGCAGAAATAACATTGCCTTTTCTGCACTTTGCTACCAAATACCATCTCATTTTGACTCCGCGGTTTAATTTGACCCATGTATTGTACTTTGCAAATAGGACTTTCCCCCCTTTTTAGCTTTGTTGTTTAGATCCATTTTTCTTTCACATTTCCCACTTAGATTGAAAAGACACACTTATCTCTCCTCGCTGTGTTGCAACAAGTGCGCGATTCATTTGGAATTGCAGAGAATAATGTTCTTACACCGTAAAAATCAAACAGTGTGCATTTGTTTGCCAGACAGCAAGTGAGAAAAGTCCCTTTCCTGCAACCGTGCAAGAGATAAAGACTTTCAGCTACTTCAGTATCTTTTTGCCCTCAGGGTGATGCTCTTTTTTTCCACCTACCTGTCTGGGTAAAAAAGCAGTTTTGCAAGGTGATATCATACTTGCTATCAGTTCTCGAAAATTATATGTCACTCTAACTTAACCCGATATGTTTCTATGGGAAAGACTGTCAGGAAATACGAGTACCGTGGCTAGTGACAGTGCATTAAATGCTCGTGTACTCGGGAGGTTCCTTGTTCTCTGGAAGCAAGACAAGTACAATACAGATGAGAGCTTGTTTCCTCTTTTACAGTGACAGTTTCTGCAGGAGTAGGTGCACCTTTTAATTGGGTGACTCTGAAGGTATGCTGTGTGTGCATGTGTGTATTTTTTGTCTTTGATTGGTGGGACATCGGAACAGTACTTGCACTTGAACTAAAGCATCTTTATTTAGCCCGTGGACACATGAGCAGTAATTGACATTTAGCGTGTTTTGCGGTTTCGTAGCTGGGGTTAATTCTAGGGCACCGACACCAAACATTGTCAGGAAGCTGTTGTCACTTGTCCAATACTGATACACAGGCAATACAACAGTTCAAAGGTCAGTAATGGACTGGGATAATTAAGGGTTGTGCCTCAAAACTCTAGTTTTAACAATGTCCTCAGACAAGTTGACCTTGTGGCTCTCTAGCTTTAATGAGTGCAACAAAAAAGAACAAAATCATTATGGAGAAAATGAAGTCCTTTCTTAAAATACTCGAGTTAGCTGCTTCAAGTGTGCTTCACAACCTCCTCCCCCCTGAAACACTATTTCATCTCTCTTGTGGCCTTTTTTCCCCTCTCAGTCTCTACTTTTTCCTTTTTTTTCCCTTCCAGGCTCCTCTCTGTGTGTCTGCAGGTCTCAGGACTCTGTGAGCTAGCAGGCGATAAAGAAACATTCTGGATGGGAATTCTGATGGCGTTGACCACTGACTCATCTGTGCGCATGTTTCCGTGGATGGCAATGTGAGAGGCTTTATCTTTCAAGTGCAGGCATGTGTGTGCGCACGATATTGAAAGGTGCAGGGACGCTTTAAACGTTCAATTAACATTAAAATGTGCCTATGACATAATGCCAAGCACAAAGCAGCAGAGCACAAAAGGGCCCAAATTGCTCTGGGAAGGCTCAGAAAGTCTAATTTTGTCTTAATATTTGTCTTGGGTGAGACTGCTTACTATTCAGTTTAGGTTGTATTGATTATTGGAGTAATCACAGTCTGGGGAAATATGAGAGAGGAACAAATATGAAGACATTTTAAAATTATCCTTGTTTATGACATTGTTTTCTTCCTCCTTCTGTGTGTGCTGGTGGATACAAGTTAGATGCAGAATCCAATCTCCTCTGCTTTCACTGCAATCCCAAAATCACTTCATCTGTATAAGATTGAAAAAGTGTGGAATACCAGACCTCCTCCTCCTTTCTCAAGTTTACTTCTAATGGTATAGTAATAACTTCCCAGCTTCCCCAAGTTATTACATTCTTCATTTCCCTTGCTATGACAAAAGAACCCATTGTGATGAAAAAATGTAAGCCCTTCATTCATTTTCAGCAATGTGTTTTTCACCTCAAAGACAAGCGATTAAATGATGACTGTATTTCCCCTTGGTATCAGAAAGACAATAGTGCATGGATGGCTACTGTGATGTCCTTAACGAGTGACCAACACTTGAAGTTCATCAGTATATACTGAAATCTCTGATTTAAATGTCAAAACACCAACAATTAAAGACGAAGGACTGAAAACTAAAAAGTCCAAATAAATCTAAAGTCACTATATTTTATGATGCTTTTATTATTATCTGCTCATTTTGGAGTAAAAAAGGCATTATTTCAAAGTATATAAAATGTTTTTCACCCATAGACCTAACACACATAATAAGAGGTTGCGATATAAAAGACATTTTACACAAAATTATGTCACCAAGAAACAGGATATTCTGCATTTTAAATACCAACAGTTTCTGATAAAGGAATTTTCAGTAGCTATTAATCAATTTTCATCCCATGACACGTATTGCGCCTCGTACTCTGATGATAAAGTTGTTTACGACAACATTTTATTTAAGTGCTGTCCTTATACCATACATTACTTTCCTATTTCCTGTCTTTTTCACAGCGAAAAGCCACAACATACTGCTGCTGAAAATGTGCCAAAAGCTTTGGTAGCTAATGATCACAGCAGTTTGAGGTTGTCAGTCACCCCTTATCACCCCTGGTGGGAGTCGGCAAATGTTGGACAGTTAATTCCGCTTGTGCAGTCTCAATCACTGGCAGGCACTGAGTATAGACAAAGCTAGCCAATCATCAGAGAAACATCAACTTTCTTGTTTTAAAAATTAGGCTAGAAATTGTTCAAACACATGCAGTTTTTTGTATTTTAGCTGAAGGTGTCAGGTAAATGGCCTAAATCTAGGAGCTCTGTTATCCAGCATGAGGACACGCTACGTTTTCCGGTCATTGCTCCTTCTGTCCTCCATCTGACTTAAATATAGCACAGCATGTGAACATTTCTTTGCAACTTTAGCTGACACTTATCTAAATTTAGACGTTCTTTCCTTTGTTTTTTCCTTCAGCGACAAAAGAAAAAGGAGAATACATTGCTGCCACGTTAATATTAATTGTGATTTGACAGTAAAAATTAAGGTTTAATTATTAGTTTATGTCATTGCTGTTATACTGGTCTTATCGTGAAGGCTCATTTCTCCCAGGCTTTGTTTTGACTTGTTAAAATACACAAGTCAAAACCAAATGTCAAAACTAACTATTAAAGCAGCTCATTTCGTTTCACATTGCAACTGGTTCAGATTACACGTGCCGAAACTGAATTCACAGAGTATTTCCAGCAACTTTCAGAAAGTTTGGCAAGTTGAAAAAATCTCAAGGTGATAAATAATATCACACTCTACCCAGCAGTATGAAAATGTACAAATCCTGTGTGCGATAAGGTCAATTTGAAATAGGAAGCAATGTACCTGCTTCTACTGCCTTCACAGTGATATTGTGCCAGCCTGCGGTCTCTCGGTCCAAAATTTTTCCCAGTGTGATGGCACCCGAATCAGGATCAATATGGAAGATCATCTCCTGGTCTGTGGACCGATCGATAGAGAACCTGTAACAGAGGGTAAAAATAAACTATGGATGTTGGGAGAAAAATGAAAACAGTAAATATGAGGGAAGAGATTAAATAGTTGTTTAAATAATGAATATAGAAGAAGTCATTTTTCAAAAAAATAATTTATCTGGCATCTATGTTTTTATCGTGAATGTTGAACAGCAGCTTGGAAAGGGCACATTCAGCAGCCCTGAAAACCAACAGTTCATACAGAAACAATGAGGGCTGAAGAATGATTTTTTAAAAGCATTTACTAGAGACTTGACACAGGTCCCGTGACCCTAATAGCACTGTATCCTTAACTGCAAGTGGCTACATCGTGATCCTTTCTTTGCCGTATTCGGAGGAAAAAAAAAACAACATAAAAAATAACATTAAATTTTCATTGTGCACTCTAGAAAAACCACAAATGCATCTTTCCTTCTTTGGGGTACTTGGTGCTCTCAAAAGATTGGTGAGTCAACAAGAATTTGCTGAAAGGTTTCTTTGTTCTTAGTTCCTCTCCCCCATCACACACACACACACAGCTGGCTCTCTCAAGCCCACATAAACCATAATGAAGAACCATGGGCATTATCAGCTCTTAAGGCCTCGCCGACAAACATGCCAGCCAGCGTTCTCCAGGTCTCATGAGAATGATGGTTAGATGTTGTAGGCATAAAACATATTGCCAAGAGAACCCATATTAGACTGATGCAGTATAGAAAACAGAACATGGATTAAATAGGTTTTTGATGATGTTTTCACTTCTGAAAGGGCGTGAGTGAAGAATAGCATTTTCTAATTGTACTGTATTCACGTGTCAATAAATGAAACAGATTTGGATTATTAATTCCAGGAGGACAAATATTTCTTCTACTGTTTCTTTGTCATTGTATAACTAGCTTTATGTCCTCGAGATAACCTGTGTTTGAAATGAGATGTTGCCTTTTTACATGAACAATCAACCCTTACATTTAAAACGACACCATTGCACCATAGCAGTGAACTAGTCTGTGCTTAAAACACTGCACCGAGGTGACACACTTCCATGTCAGTCTATTGCCCCATTAAAACTATCTTTAACATCCCATTTAGGACAGGAGTTTGGCTGTATTACATTACATTACATCTGCCACTGGCATCTGTCTCCAGTATAGACATTAAAGGGGACATAATATGCAAAAAAAAAATCTAATTTTTATTGTTTTTGAGCATCGTTTTGTTTCCCCAGTGTGTTTAGAGATCCACAAAGTAGGAGAAAAGAACATCCCTTCATCTTTTTTTTCTCACATTAGCACTCAGGGAGCATGAAAAAGGCAGGGTTTAGAAAGGTTGTGCCGCCTAATGCCAGGGGCCATGAGGTTGCTACGTTTACCCAGTAGGTGGCTCCTGGCCAAACTCTTCCCCCACCCTTTTCACCCACTCAAACCCGATTCACACACATAAACACACATACTCAAACACTCATATATGCTCGTGCACGTATCACACACATATTTTCAGCTGCGGGCCGCCAAGACGCTAGTGAACGACAGCACTGCCATTGTGTTGTACTTTATTACACCTGGAACTCTGAGTCTCATGCATTTTTAATCGAGGTAATTTGCACAGGCCCTGCATGTGTCGGTGTATACTCTGTCAGTGAGACTGTCATAGCCCTTATCTACATTCCCTCCCTCACATTGCAATTGCTCTTCTGAGGACATATAAACCAAAGACCTTGCTACAGACTGGAGATACCAGATGATATTGTTTTATCACACACAGTAATCTGAGAAAAAAAAGAAAAAGAGATTTACTGTACACTTCCATCGATTGCTCTGTTGCTTTTTTGCTAAAAAAAAAAATTCTCTGAAGCCTATCAACTACACATGTGTCTACTTGCAACTAGTGAGTTATAGTTCTTTAGAGTTATATTTTTTCACATAACAAATTCTTCTCCTATAAGAATGTGTCTACGGTGATAAAGTAATACAGTAGATGCAGGATGCCATGAGCAAATGCCAGCGGACTTGAGGAGCTGCAGCCCGCGCTACAGTGCTTCAGTATCCTATCAAAGCCACGCAAAATGAGGTGCTCATTGTCATGCATAAGTTTGCTTTGCAGTGTGATTTATATTAAGCAGCGAGGCCATCTTTCCATAGCAATATTTTATTGCCAGTGTTTTGGTTGATATATTTTATCAAGCTACCTACTGTTGCAAAAAGCAATTGTGCACTCACAGTATCTAAGTACCGCTTTAATCTTATCCCTACATTTTCATGTATTTTTATATGCTACATTATAATCACAGCCAAAAGATTGTTTTATTTAAAGCAAACTTAATGTTCTAATCAAACCAAATCAGATTTGATACAACAGTACACCCTCGGTACTATTTTGTCTCTCTTTTAAAGCTACGGTCCTCTCTACCAATTATAATTAAAGTAGAAATGATTTGCATTCTAGTGTGGACCATGATTGCATTAACATGTGCAGTTTACCCGAATCAGGGTTCTAAGTAAACTTCATCTCTCTATGCAGTGGTTTACATGGAACTTAACAGAGTAAAACTTAGCTTTAAATACGTTGTTGTAAGCTGCTAGATATACATTCAGATATACATTTACTTTTTCAAAAAATTAGTTTTAGATCTCTTCATGTACCTAACGGGTTTATTCTTCACATCTGGATCCCTGGCAGTGACAATGCCAACCAGCGCCCCTACTTTGGCATCCTCCTGGACCTCCATGATGGCGCCATCCACTGGCTGAAAGATGGGCGGCTCGTCTATGTCCGATACGCTCACCCGGACAATGGTCTGGTCTCGAAAAGAGCCCAGGTCCACAAAGCGAGGGTCAACGTGCTTATTTACTGCCTCTACAACAACATTGTGTGTCCGCTTGCTTTCGAAGTCCAGTGGCTGAAACACAAACAAATGAGATTTTAAATGAACAATTTCACTTAGCTATAAGTCATCCATCATGTAAAGTGACACAGTCCTGAGTCCTGACACTGATGGCCAGAAGCTACATTACAGCACTGATAAAATTGCAAAGATATAAACATATATGTTTGTATAGAGTTCATGCCTCCCTTTTAGTCGATAGTTTCTTTCAAGAGACAGTTGTACAAGCATCACCGTCTAACCATTACAGGCTCTGGCAGCTAGAATGTTTAACACTGCCATATTGTTGAAAGTCCAGTGAACCAAAACACTGCTGGCTGAGTGTCAACATGTTCATTTTGCTATTAGGCCCCATTCACAATAGCGATGTGTCACTTCAGAGAAACACTTTTGACACAAGTTGCTACTTCTAGAATTCAACCTTTTCTTTTCTTTTGGTCGCAGAGTGCAAGGAGGGAAAAAAAAAGAAAGAAAAAAAGTTGAGAATAGTTCACCATTTGGAAAGACAAAGTACTGACAGCACCTGTCAAACTCCAGCGGGCAACCAATGATTATCAACCATCAAAGACCAATTATCTCTCTTTCTCTGTCTCTTGAAAGGAGTTGCGGCCCAACAGCTGTCCAGCTCACTCAGCAGAAAGACCAAAATGCTGGGAGCTAAAAAAAATAAAATCAAACTTTACCAACAGTTCCTCAAACGGGGTTTGTTAAACGAAAATCAACATAGGCCAAGTTGCTTGTTGATTTCTAACCAAAAGAATCCCAGTCACTTTTATCTATTCTGCCACAGGGGTCAGGGACTGCTGCATATGAAAAGATGCTTGAAACAATCCATAAAATTGTGTTTAAAAAAGGAAAGAAAAATCAATAAATGCTTGCAGGCTAGCATACCTGGTAATTGTAGCCAGTCTGATTTTTGAGTGATGCTTTTTCCAGCAACAAATAGCTTTTGCTTGAATCTAATTTCAAAAATGTTTGCCTAAAACATTGCTTTGGCATGTATATTTATAGCTCAAGTAGAAAGTAACTCTTAGCTATCTTATTTAGCTGGTTTGTGTAAAGCTTTAGGGGAAGGAAAAACTCCTACCACTAAACATTTTGTTTGCAATGGAAAATGGGATCTGTTTTTGTTTTTTTTAAAGGCAAAACTGATTGCTTTAATTTTTCTAATTATTATTATTTTTGGCCTGTTTAACATCAATATGGGATTAACAGAGAACAATCACAGCATTGAAGCATTTGCTCTAATGTAACTGTACCTTCTTGATGGAAACAACGGCTTCCTGTGTCTCCACATCGGTCGTGACTTTGAACAGCTCCCCTCCCTCTTTGATCAGATAGCTCATGTCCGTGTTCTCTCCCATATCTGCATCTGTGGCAATGACACGTCCAACCGGTGTGCCCAGAGCAGCCCCCTCCGACACAGAAAACTGGTACATCTCTGGTAAATGAAATGAGTGGCAGGAGACGGAAAATCACAGGTAAACCAATGTGTAGATGCAGTCGCACAGCACACCAGAAAAGAAGGACATGGGACAAAGGTAACATGGAGAAAAAGAGGTAAAAAAAACACCAGCGGAAGAAGGATGAGAAAAGACAGATGGACGGCCGTGAGTGGAAAATGAGGGTGAGAAGTCAGGATATTGGTAAAAGAGATGGATAGTGAGCGGAAACAGAAAAGTGGGAAGAGGAAGGGGATGAGATAATGATGTAGATAAAGTAGAAGTAAAGAGGGGGAGAAACAGAAAATGGAAAATGAAGTTAGGATGGGGTTATAATGAGAGAATAGCAACAGGTAGATGTCGGACATTTATTGTAAATATGGTTGCTGAATTCACGAAAACCAGAATGTAAAAAATTATTTATCACACTGTATCCTTAGAATAACATTTCTGACATTAAAAGTTGCCACTACCCAGAATTCACAGTGAAGTTACGTGATGTCTCTGCCACAATACAGATGAATCAATATTGTGCAATGTGCAATTATGACTGTATCTCAATTGTAAGCACGGATGGGAATAACAAAGCAGGTATTATATTATGTATAAGAGTATAGGAAAACGTTTCCATGATGTCAATTCTGAATCTGAAGTTACATTTAAAATTACAGAAGAGACCAATTAAAATACCAGTAATTGTTATGAGCTAAATAAAAAGATCTTTTTTAGAAAGGAAGTAAGAAGATTAAACTCTACTGTTCCCCAGATGGAAATTGTGTGAACCATCAAAGCCCTTATGTATACCATATGTCATCTTCCTTTGCATCTTATTTATGACTGGATTCCAAATTCTATCTATTCCCCAATACCATGCAGTGGAGGTACTATAATCCTGTAGGGTTTATCCCTCTGACTGAGTAAATATGATTTACAGAGATGAAAAAAAGGGATTTATCAAGAAATAAGAAAAGGTGTGTGGAGACATATCAAATACAATCACCCACACTGTCAGACGCTGTACCCCTAGCTTTAACAAAAGTAATAGTGTTATGCTGTTATAGTGTCGGTTTTACTCCAGAAAAAGGGAAAAAAAAAGAATGAAGAAACAGAAAAAAAGGCTATTTTATTCACACATCTAATTAATTCTAGATGTGCTAACATTTAGAATAATACACCACATGTCAGGCAGAAAATCCCGGTAACACTAAATGTACTTGTGCTGGTGCAGTACGTCAAAGGTGCAATATGTGTAATGTCCACACTCCTTATCTGTTTGCTTTAGAGAAGGCTGGGTTTCAACTAAATTAGGTGTGTTTGTGTGGTCAGGGGGAACGGACTGTATTTTTAGCTGTGTTTTAAACCTACCTGTTGAGTACGTGCTCCCTGAAAGCCATTTAGTTCAAAATCCAACTCGCCATCACAAATCCATAACATTACTATGTACAATCAGCTGTATTGATTCGGTCCTCTTTTGAGCCTTGCCTAAAGAGAATGATCAAATGTGCAGTGGAACGCATCAATTCTCCGCATTTGATAGACTACTTTGTTATGGGCAGCGGGTACGACGGGCCCGTAAATTTAATTTAGGTGATTTTTGAAGACTGCATAGATGCTATTTAAGCCACTGCTTATTGATGTCAGAGGCCTGCAGGTTGCAAAATATGACTCTTTCATCATATTCTCATTTCTTTGTCTTTCAGACTCCCCATCCCTCTGAAAAAAAAAACAAAAAAAACCCTCACTTGTTCCTTTTATACTCTCAGTCATTTCCAACTGTTTTCTCCCTCTCCTCCTGTCTCACAGTCTCTGTTTCAGTTTAAAGCGAGAAAATGTGCGGGACACACTCACTCTGTGGGAAGCGCGGTGGGTTGTCATTAACGTCTGTGATCACTATGGTCACCGTGGTGGAGCCAGAGAGACCACCCATTTGTCCTGCCATGTCTGTTGCCTTGACGACCAACTCGTAGCGATCCTGTGTCTCACGGTCCAAATCCGCCACTGCTGTCATAATTATTCCTAATGATTGAGGGATGGAGGTGAGTTTGCAGGGGAGAGGCAGAGAGAAAGAGAGAGAGAGTAGTTAGTAAGTGAGGCCACTGGAAAGGTTACATTAGTGGTTAGCACTTATGCAATAACCAACTATATTTCCTCTCTCAGTTTGAATACCAACTTCTGCTAAGCACTGTATTATGGAGGCACAAGTGCAGCACATTCCATTTCTCCTCCTCAGAAAAAGGTGGATAGCAGAGATTGTGTCATATTTGCGCCTCTGCACATACACCGTTTTATGGCTCAGCTGTATTAAAATGAATAATATATAGAGGCAGAATGAAGGCTTGCCTCAGCCACCCTGAACAGCATTACAACTCTTCCATGGTGGAGACTGCACTCATACCTGAAAAGTGGATATCCACAAAGCAAGCAAGGGACATAGAGAAAGTGATATGATGTAGGAAGAGAGTTAAGAAGCACAGCAAGAGAGAGAGACAGCAAGAGAGAGAAGCAAAACCAGGGCAATAGTTTCATTTATTCAGCAGTGCACATTCTGCAAAAATTCAGCAGTCAGTTAAAAACAGGGTATTGACTGAGTTGAGCTTTTGAATTTAAGGAACTATTATAAAATGTAAAAGTCATATTCCACCTTTCAGATGAAGATCAGCAAAGCAACAAACAGCCTTCTTTATGGTCACCTTGGCAAACACATGTCAGCTCTCTACAACTATTTGCAGACAGTTTGGATGTGATGTCTTGATGATACTGTCTCCTGTGTGAGAGTACCTGTGAAGTTACCTAACAACTATATTTGTGCTTCCCAAGAAGTCCTGTACTTTGGTCTCTCTTTTTTTTAATGCTGTACCTATCTCTTCACACACATTCACACAAACCAGCACATGGTTCTTCCTGGTTTAAAAAGAGACATTCTCCTTGTTGGCCCAGCAGCAGCAACTGTATCAGTAGCTGGCTGCTTTGCTCTGCAGTAGTAATATAATTCCACTTTACCCCTTGGGATTTTCCACATCAGAATCTATTGATGCATTTCCCGTGCTTGGTGTGGTGTCTCATTCCCAAAGGTTTGCATTGTGTTGGGTATACAACTCACTGATTCGAGCCACATTTAGCCCAGGGCCATGTTCTATGAGTCGCCAAAATACAGTACATGCAGCAGTGGAGTTAAGTAGGAAGACAGATGACATGCTCCTCTTTCATCTGCGAAAAACCAAAAGGGGATGCACCTAAATTAGAGCAGCTACAACTATACAGCACCACTGCTCCTAAATTATAGTAGAACCCACATAGATGTGCCTACATGGTCTGTATTCATCAGCGCAGTCTACCTGCTGCATATTCCAATGCGTATCACGTAGGCTTAACATTAACCAATTTAAGCGGGTAATAGGACCGTGTATACCAACTGTGAAATAGAGCTTCAGTATAGTAATTCATTACATTAATATAAAATAAATGACATTCCAATCTTTTCTCGTTCTCTCTCTCTCTCGCTCTTTTTTTTTTTTTTTTTGCTTTTATACATCAATTATCTCTGTTTTCATCTTGTAAGGCAATGGAAATCTTTTGGGCCTTCACAGCCGCTACAAAAACTGAAAAGGGGTCGTTTTGGCAGGCTGAGGTATCAGCTTGCCTTTTGCACCTGTCACCATGTCATTTCCTCTGCCGCTGTGTGCGCACCGCCAGAAACCGATGATCCATACATATTGCTGCACTCACATTTTCACGGGAGCTGCCATTGCACTCTGACACTGCAGTGGACAAATCTACAGCTGGGGTATGGACAAAAGTACAAAAACTTTTAAACTTCTTCTACATTTTCAACAACTGCCTTACACACTTTTGTTGCTATATATATATATATATATTTGTTCTTTTGCTCATTTGAGCCTTGAGGACATGGAAGCAGCTATCGTTGTGTGTTTCGGAAGGAAGCAGAAGATGAAATAAATGCTTGGTACAGACCAAAAACTCAACATTATCATCAACATGGAACAATAAGTACAATCAAAAACTAGCCTTTTGCATGTGCTATATTACAGTAATATAATTAATCATATTATATAATTATATTAATTATAATTAATGTGGTATTCATAGGACAAAACATACACTGAGTGTAGAATATCTTAACGCTTTTTGTTTGTTTGTTTTCAGAAACCGTTTAAATCAATAAACTGCAGTCTTGGATGAAAGATGCAGATACATGCCTTTGTTTTTTTTGTTTATTTTGTTGTTGTTTTCTGTTTTGCTAAATTATAATACAAACGGAATAGAAAAATCTGTTCTATAATAGTATATAATCTAATTTATTTATTTTTTTTTAAATACAATGTTATCATAATCCACCTCACCCTTAAATTAAAAAAAGAATTATTTGTTTGTTTTACATATTACTATGGTTCAATCCTTGTAGTCTCTAACGTATTTTAATGAGATACTCAAAAACACCTACAGACAATTCCATAATGGCCAAAGCGACACACACGCACACACACACAAAAAAAAAGACTTGCTATAGACTTTGCCAAGGTGAGTGAAAGTGATATTAATGAGGCAGGTTTCACAGCTGTTCTGTCTCCTCTTTATTTTGACCTTCTTGACTCGCACCTATTAGGCTGCCTGTCTGCCTACAAGAAGGAGGGAGAGAGGGCGGGTGGAACTGGGGGTCGTGAGGCAGAAGCTGGAATGGACCATCCAGTCTCCTGACTAATTCCACCCAGGTAGAGCCATTTATCATCAAGGCACCCAGGCTGACCAAATCTAAGTGGTGGAGACCAAAAAAGAAATCATTAAAACTTTCGCGGTTTTCCCTGGAGAGGAATTCGAAGGCAACACCAATGCTAAGCTACCCCTGAAAGACTCTGGGTCAGGACGAATCTCTCGTATAAGCTCAACTCCATGGGGAAATAGCGACTTTTGCAATGTATAGCTGGGGGAGATTTTTCATAGGTTAAATCTGAATGCGGTGGATATATAACCCATGATTCTGAGGTAATGTTAGAAGACGACCCAGACAGACTCGAGCACTAGTCAAAAAAAAGACTCTCAGCTTTCCTGTGCTGAACAGCACATGCATTTGGTCTGATAATGAGTTTAACAGTCAATTAAACAGATGCTAACAACGGAGCCAAAACAGTTAGGTAAATAAATGTATCTAATATGTGTGATGAACATGTTACATGTATATATATATCGTATATATCCTCTTTTTATTTCTATTTATACACATCAGAAATCACTTTTGATCAGGTGCAATGATTACATACTGAGTCCCAATCACCCAGGTGAAACTAATTCTGACTTTGGGTAACTGACCGAAGAGTGGGACGCCCCACTTGGCCCCCATTGACACCATCAACAAGCTGGTGGACAGTAGTATCTTAATGCATTGATCCATGTCAGGGGTGGCCATACACAACATTAGTGACTGAGTGTAAGAGTAGGAAGAGTAGTATTGGGCATTCTTATGCATGAAATCCCCTCAAATATGTGTTTCCTGTTAAAGTAACCAAGGTTGAAAAATTGAAACAAAACCCAAATCCTATTGTTTAATACCCTTATTGTGTTTAAGCCTGAATACACAGTTTGAAAAAGTTAATTGTGATGTAATTTTTACTGTGATGTGTATTGTATGTAAATTGTGATATTAATAAAGTTTTGAGAAGATATACAATTTATCTATCAAGAATAAATCATATTGTCACAATCATGAGAAGAGGTAAAATAAAAATATTTTAATCCAACTTAAGGGCAACGGTGTACCTGATGCTATTCACACTATACGCTGCCTGCTGCTCGTTGGACAAAATAAGTTCTAGACTTGATTGTTGAGCCAAGTGCTATTTTGAGTGGCTGGAGCCAGAAGTTGTTGGCTAAAACTTTATAAAATTGCTTGTTTTTGGCCAATTGATTTTATGTTTTTGTCCACAAATTTTGATTGATCTGGGAATTATGGTCTCTGAACATAGATTGCTTAAGGTATTGCTAAAAGAAGAAGAAGCACAAGAAAATCTTCTAAGAAAAGGGTTCAGAGAGTGGTGAATGTGTTTGTTCTTACCTGTGTGTCTGTCCACAGTGAAAAACTTTTCTCCATCCAGTACACTGTATACCACTCTGGCACTGCTGCCGTATGTCGGGTCATCAGCATCCGATGCAGTAACCTTCATGACGGACGTTCCTGTTGGAAACAGACAACATAATGTCAAAAAAAGAGAAGAGAAACTTCTGAGCCAGGAGGCCACTGGGGATACTTTAGACAAGGGCTGAAATCTCATAATATGAATTTGAATCAGACTCAAAGATGTGGGTGTTTTCTTTGTGTTTGTCGGTAACTTGAGCTGGTTCTGTCTTTGTGAGGACAAAAACAAAGATTTTCAGACCTTGAAATGGAGGACATATATATACAAAAGCACACACTACCCTCTCTTCATTGTTTTGAGTAGCTGTTAAAAAGCTGCCCTTTGTTAAGGTTGTGGGCTGCCGGATGCATCACATGAGTGAGTGGGACTCACAGGTACAGTCACAGTCATGTGTGTGTGTTCATGCACACTTGTCTGTGATTATACTTGATAGAGGGAGTATTTCAGCACTACTGCACCATGTCATGGTGGTTAGCACTGCTGCCTAACAGCTAAAAGGTTCCCGGCCTGGGGTCTTTCTGTGTGGAGTTTGTATGTTCTCCTTGTGCCTGTGTGGGTGCTCTGGCTTCCTCCCACAAAGACATGCTGAGGTTAATTAGTGATTCTAAATTCTCTGTAGGTGTAAATATGAGTGTGCTTGGTTGTCTGTGTGTAGCCCTGCGATAGACTGTCAACCTGTGGACCTGTTCGTGACCATACAGAGGATTAAGCTGGATGGATGGATGGATGGATGAGTGTAATTTCCTAAACATTTTTTTAATATTTCAAATTACTTTTCCGCAACCCCAACGCTTAGATTTGTTTTTCCTCTCATCAGCACAGAAGTTGTGCTCTTAGATGAAAGAAAACATGGAGTCATACAGTCAACATTACACCTTCAAAGACTGATAGAAGCAAAGAAATTTACAACAAACAATTACATGTCATTACCGGCACTTAGACAGAGAACACAGTGAACAGTCATTTCCACACGAACCCTTAAAATTGGGATTTGTGGAGCAACAATGTTTAAGTCATTATTTCCCACTCAGTGTAGTAAATTTGTCAACAGTGTGCGAATACGAGCCTCTGGCAGAAAATAGGCAGCCGCATCTTTCCATTTAGTCACACATTTTAGTTAAAGCTCAGCCGAAAGCCTTTCAAACTTTAAGGTTCTTAATTTTAAGGTTAAGAAACAACTGCATACTTGTCTCCTAGCATGTGAGCACTATTTTTTTCTTTCTATAAATATATTCACTTACAGGAAAAAGAAAGATTAAAAAAAGGAGACATTCTTAGGCACCGCAGGTCCTCAAGGACAAGAAGTCAGTCTTTGTCTTCATCCCTCTGGCCGTTGCTGTGGGTAATTACTGACAGCTGGTGTTGTCCACTAAAGGTCACCAGTGTAGCCTTTCTCAGAGCCCTGTCATGCTACTGTCCAGCTACATAATGACCGTATGCTAATGATGCTAATTAGAGAGAAGTGTCAGAGCACTGTTTGTTTCCTGTCATCCAATGGAGCTCCTAAGGGGGAAAGAGGGAGGGAGAGGCCAGTGGATTATCATTAAAGTCACCCAGCCATTAAATCAGATGGCTCAGATCATTCTTCTGTCACTGTCACCTATAGCACTCTTTTGTTCTGCACTGTATGTTGATAGGAGCTGGCCAGTTTCCATGCTTTAATATCGCTAGCATATAATGCATCGCACTACCTGCTCAATCATACTAGTCAAATGAATTAGGTTGTGCTACTTTGTCTTAAATATATGTCATCTGACAAACAGTTGGCATGAAAAAGGATATGCAAAGACATGCAAAACATGTATTGACACATGGATAGATCAGAGTCTATCAATAACGTCATGCTGCCCTCAGTTTAATCCTGATATATCGCAGCTCCTACCTGAACAAAAAGTATCATGCATATTAACTAGTTTGGTTTTTAATTTACATTCTTGTCATATCATATAAGTCATTACCTATTCCAAATGTGAAAAAGTACTGATCCTTAGCAGATCACAATAAAGCATCACAGTTGGGGGATGAGTGAGATATCATTCTTATCATATTGAAAACACAGGACTGTATAGAGACTAGGCATTTTCATTACTGGCAGCGGGCAGGGGTTTGTTAATTCTTCCTAGCTGGTTGGCCCCCTCGCTGTGGGTCCAACAAAGCCATTTTCGTCCATGGGATTACTTCCTTATCTTAATTTTCCCCAGGTAACAATCAGTTTGACGCTCAGCTGTTTCTGGATACTGGCTGGCAGCAACGTCAGATGGTTTGGAAGAACTATATAAATGCAAATGTTTCTTTATTGTGTTTATATTAAAAAGAGAAGTGAGGCAGTGAGTTTGGCACTTGGGTTCTTATTAAAGCGCTGGCTTGCATCAGTGTTTTCAGTGAGGAGAAGTCATTACTTACAGTATCTGTTGGCGTGGTTGGCGTCACTTAAGCAGATTCGACTGTTGATGGACTTGTGGGAATTCAATAAAAATTATTGACTTTCTCAGATTGAAATGTAATGCATATAGCAGTAACAGGAGAAGTATGTCTAATGGAGAGAAGCTCCAGATATTCATTATCCAAAGAGATGTTTTTCTCCCACTAATAAAACCTCAATCACAAATTGCTCTCAGATGAGACAACATGCACTGTAGCAATAATAATTTTAATTACCAAAATATAAAAGTTTGTCTCCCTTCATGGGCATATTTGTTTGGGTAGAGTTTGCTTGGTTTGGTTATATTACAAAACTTTCTATATCGTTTTCTTCAAATATTTGAGCAATTACACCAGTGGTGAAGCCAAATGACACATTCAGCCCTGTGTTACTGCTTCAATTGTTTCAAGCTTCAACAGGAGTTCAACATTTAAAAAGAAATTATTTTGCTGACACCCAGTGGTTGATTATCTCACCTTACTATACTAAAGTGGAGAAGTGGATGTTTAGTATATTACACCATGACATCATTGTTGGGTGTGTTTATGGAGGCGGCAGAGCTGACACGTTTCCATCCATAACCGGTCAGACATGGTGACACAGAACTTTCTATTAGAAGCACATTTGAGCTCTTTAATATGGCATTACTCTGAGCCAACTTGTGCTACTTGTAGAAAAATAATGCAGTGAATGTAGTCTCTCTGCTTCAAGTGAAGCTAATGCAGCCTGCAGATGTTTAAACTGTAGATTTCAACAATTAAAAAAAGGAGTGTTGGCATTGTGCTAATTGTCAAATTTAACCCAAACATTTTCAGTTTAACAATTAAAAGATGTGAAAATAAATGTTTTTTTTTCTGTTAATGTTCATCAGAGCATTCCTGAGAGCAGCAATGTTTACCAATGCTTTCCAAAGTTACTTGCCTTACTATGGAGGACTAGACAGGGTGACAACATCTCCTTGTTGTGAAACTATAGTATATGCAGATATGCATATGGGTGACAAATTAATGGAAAATCCAACATAGAGTGTATTATTAAGGTGTAACACCACTATGTGCCACCAGAACAGCTTCAGTGCACCTTGACAGTGATTATTCAAGTCTTTCAAACTTGACTTTTGGAAGGGAACGCCATTTTTCAAAAAAATATTTCCTTATCTGGTGTTTTGATGATAGTGGTGGACAGCACTGTCTTCACATGCTTGTAAAAAATCTCTAAGGTGGTTCAGTTGGATTGAGATCTGGTGATTTTGAAGGCTAGACCATGTGATTTACATAATTTCAATACTCATCAAACCATTCAGTGACCCTCCCCTATGGATGGGGTCATTAGTGATCTGGAAGAGACCACTACCATCAGGATCGTAATGGTTCATCAAAGGATAAAGGTGATGACTCAGAAGAACTTTGTATTGATTTTCAGTGACCCTTCCCTCTAACAGGTCAAGTGGACACAAACCATGCAAGCAAAATGCCCTCCATAGCACAACAGAGCCACCGGATGCCGTCATTGTAGAGGTCAAGCATTAGGCTCTGTACTGTCTAGGTGTATGCTTGGATGGCTCATCTGACCAAATCACTGTAGACCAGTGCCTGTGGTTTCTGCACCATTAAACATTCAAATGTGCAGTCATCCTTCTAATGAGGGTATATTCATTGCAACCCTACTTAAATATGCCCCTCTATGTAATCGTCAATGGCCTGTTCTTGCTGACAGTCTGATCATGTCCCGCATTGACATTTTGGGTCACCTGAGGAAGTGTTTTTCTGTTTTTCCTTACATATCGCAAGGCTGTACGAGCATCATCACTTTTAAATACGTGTTGCTGACCACAAATTTCTACCTTATTTACTGATGTTTTTTTTTTATAGTTCTGAATTCAGTTGTCCTTTCAGTCACCATTCCTATCCAAACACTTGCCAGTTGAATAGCTTTTGTGACTAAAGCTCCTGCCATCCGATCCCCAACAATGAATCATCCTTCAAAGTCTCTTGCATTTTTTCCTCTTGTATTCTGATGCAAAATCTAAATCCAATGGGCCTGTTTAGCATATTTATACATGCCACAGAGCATGATTGGATGGTTATTACTTAATTATACTGTGCAGTGCACCTGTGTGGAAGCATCTGCATTCATTTTGTTTCTCTGCTTATTTATTCAGGTTTTTCCTTTAATTTGTCACTCATGTGTAGCTTTGTTTTTAATTTAATTCTGTTGCAGATGGGGTAAGTAATTAGGGTTAAATGGCAGTCGTTTATTTTGCACCTTTAATTAATAGTTAATTTTTCTATAATTCTATTGTTATATTCCCAAGTATGAAAAACACCACAGAGAAGGTGGGATTAACAGATAATTGAGTAAATAAACAGTTCAAATAATGACTGCAACCAGTAGTTGCTTTCTATTTATATGGCAGTTTCTTCCTGGAACAGTGTTTCCAACATTGCTACAACATCATCTCAGAGCGAAAGACATGAAGGAAGCAACAGTTGTTCCAAAACAATAACATAATAATACAGTCTGTGTTGCAAATGTTATTTAAGCAGTGAACAATATCCCTTGAAGGATAATGTAAATAATATTCGGATGAAAACTAACTCTGGGACCATATCTGGT